CTGGTTCTAGGTAGGTGCTAACTGATGCTTTTAAATTCTAGCCCACGAGAAAATCAAGACAGGAGTTGTATGAAAATCACCATTCCCTCAGGCCGCATATCGCCAATACATTAGCAGGAGTTCAAAGACATTGGTTTTGTAACTTACAAATGGGAAAAGGTGCCATAAAAGTGGATAAGAGCTGGACTCGACTCACCCACCAGACCAGACCATCTAACAGCTCCCCACATCCCCAGCTCTTGACGTCGCGTCCACCCTTGTACACGCGACAAGCCGTCACGATCTGCAGCAGCCGTCTGCTAATACACGTTTGCTGGGTGAGAGAGGCCCCCGGCCAATGATATCACCTCCGGTCGCTTATCTCATTGATATAAATTCTCGTCTTTTTCCCTTCCTCTCTCTCGTCTCGGGATTTGCGAGATGGCGCCTTCCGAAAAGGAGCTAGAAGCTGCACTAATTGATGCGACCTGTGCAGTCTACGAGGCGGAACCCGACGCGACCAGCGTCAACAAGGTTCGCAAACAGGCCGAGGACAAACTTGGCCTTGAGGATGGCTTTTTCGGGGATGGAGAGTGGAAGAGCAAGAGCAAGGAAATAATCAAGAAATATGTGGTAAGTCTCGGAGGTTGTCCAATTCTAAGCAGGTCATGTAGTAACCATGGAGCCGCAAACAGGACAAGCTACTCGACGGTTGGTCCCCAGGACAAGATGGTGAAAACAGCACAGGAGGAAAGAAGGGAGCGAAGCGTCAATCTGCCGAACCGAAGTCTCCCAAGGCCAAGCGACAGAAAACAACCAGCCAGCCGAAAAAGAAAGTAAACAAATCAGAGTCATCGTCAGAGCTTAGTGAGCTGGACGAGGACGAGTCCGAGGAAGAACCAGCCCCAAAGAAGAAAAAGAAAGCTCAACCTCCCAAGAAGAAAGCAGTATCGCCAAAGGTCCAAAAGAAGGAGAAACCAGCAAAGAAGGCCGCCCCTCCGAAAAAGGTTCCGCTATCGGACGATGAGGACGATGAGTTAACTCCAGCCCCATCCACTTCAGAAGAGGCCGAGGTCGATGTCGAGAAGGAGGAGCATCAATCAAAAGTCGAACCAGACGATGAGGCCAAACCGTCAAAGGAGGAGAGTGCACAACCTCCTGTTGATGAAGAGGAAGAGTACTCAGATGTCATTGACGAACCCCCGCCGCCAAAACGAAAGAAGGGTACCAAGAAAGAGCCTGCGGCCAAAACCGCCAAGCCCACCAAGTCGGCGACCAAGAAACCCACCGATGACGACCCGCACGAGGTTGAGATCAAAAAGCTACAGGGCCAGCTTGTCAAGTGCGGCATTCGGAAGCTTTGGCACAACGAACTCAAGAGCTGTGGAGATGATTCCCGCGCTAAGATTCGCCATCTGAAAAAGATGCTCGAGGACATTGGCATGGACGGGCGATTCTCAGAGGCAAAGGCACGCGAGATCAAGGAAAAGCGCGAACTCATGGATGAGCTTAAGGCTACTCAGGAAATGAACGCGTTATGGGGGAAGGCCTCGGAAGGACGAGCGAGCCGTAGCAGGGCCAAGGTCCAGAGCCTAAAGGTCGACAGTGATGGGAGTGAGAACGAACAAAACGATGACAAGGAAGACGAAGATGACGAGGAGGGTGAAACGACAGTCGCAGCCCGACGGAGGAGGGCACGAGCCGACCTAGCATTTTTAGATGACGACAGTGACTCCGATTAGGAGAGGTTTGCATTTTGGAGTTGATTTAAGGGAGAATTCTACGGCCTTGCCAATTATTGTCGCGGGTTTATGATGGCAGGCATGTCATAGCATGTAAGATAATAATGATCAGTCAACATAATGCATCAAAATTCATTAATAATTGGTATCCAGCCTTGCCTGTGTATCCATAGAACGACCAAACCAGAATCATGCCGAGTGTCTCCTAATCCTTCCATGCCTTGTACACAATCCGAGTGCCGTATGTTTCACCCTCCTTCAAGAGCACCTGGCTCTTCCACTCCGGTACGTTGGCGGCGTTGACCCATCGGCTGGGCTCACAGCAGAAGCCGGCACGGTGGCCCCTTGCAGGCAGTCCATCAACAGCTGGAACGTCAATTCCGTGGCCAGTGTAGAACTGGAAGCCAGGTTCCGTACTGAGAACCTCGAGGTGGATGCCAGTTCCAGGGTGGTGAGCAGTGATATTAACCCTGAGGGGAGAGTTGCGAGTGTCCACTGGTGTAGACGAAGGGTCGGTATCAATTGTAAAGCAGTGGTCAACGTCAGGCCCAGTTGACGTAAGTAAGAAGGGCTTGCTGGTGTCGAGGCCTGGGAAGGGTACTGGGCCACTGGTAGGAATGGCAATGTCGTCTATAGGAAGGTGTTGATTCGTGGCCAGCGTGACTGTAGTGCCGTCAAAGGTCGGCGCATCCACGCCGGCAGGGTTAAAGTAGGAGTGGTTCGTCATGTTGATCACAGTCTCAGCGGCACCGCCAACCAGCTTAGCCTCATAATCTATGCCCAGAACAACGACATCCTTGCCCTCTGCATTGCGCTGGGTACCGGTAGTATATGTGACCTTCACATCAAGGGCACCGGGAAAACCCTCGTCGCCGTCCTCACTCAAATAGGAAAACTCGACGGTCTCGCCTCCCTGAAGACCTTCAACGCCGGGGATCTCACGGAGACCAACAGGCTTGGGACCATTCCAGACCTTCTTGCCCCAGCCGCTAGCACCACCATGAAGAGTGTTGCCCCGGTCGTTGTTGAAGAGGGGGTAGGATTTACCACCATTCACAGATTCAACCTTGGCATTGGAAAGACGGTTGGCAAACCGGCCTATGGTTTCACCAAAATATGGGCCATTATGCTTAGCATATTGCTCAGCTGTCTCAAACCCCTGGACAATGTTAATGCCATTAACCTTGAATTTCTGAATGATAGCTCCCAGAGGGAGGAAGGTGAACCCCGAATCAGTCATGGTGAAACCTGGGTACTATTGCTGCAGAGTGAGAGATTCTTAGACCAAAAGGCCAGACGATATAGCTTTCAAGCGGGATATTGGTAGGCAAGAGGCGAAACTAGGCCTTTGGCAAGGGTAGGGAGAGGGCAAGTGGCCATCTTTAAATGCAGCATCCGTGTTCGTGTCATAGGTAACGTGTTGTGGGGTGAAACCTGATTTCAGCCTATTTGCACCAGTAACACGCATCCGTACCAGTGAGGTAGTAAGGGTCGTCTTGGTGTGGTTGTGCAATAAGCAGCCTATTCTAACGGATCTACGGGAACAAAACCCACCCGAAATATGGTGCTACAGGACTTATCCGGCCGCCGGGCCTACTGCGGTAGTTTTGGTCACTTGCTTCGAGAACACATAGCGACCAGGGCCCCTCACTTCAAAATGCAGTTGTTGAATGTACGATAATCTGGCCTTGTTGGATCCTTGCAGCCCTATGAACGCTGGTAGTTTCTCTTGCTACATTCTGCCTTGCATAGAAAAGCTGCTGGATGCATTGCTGGTGGCTGGTCGTTTAGCTGCTGCTAAACTGGCTACTAACATGACTACCAGACCGCATGCTGAACTGCTGCTAAACTCAACTGGCTCCTCAATGCTAAATAGGCAGCAGGATGCTAGATTAGCTAACGAGATACAAGCTGATGATACACAGATTCCTAATATTTTTAAATATGGCGATTCCCCATGCAAATCGCAGAATCAATACTTCTCTGGTGCAGACCTACCCCTCTCAGACGGGAGCAAGGGTGCTGAGAGAACAGTGAGGGGCCGCCGGATGAGAAGGCCCCAATCTCACTGGAGCGGGTCGTCAACAGGCCGATACCACCCATCTCAATACTACTCGTGATGAAATAAGGAATGTATCAGTCAAGGGAAAGTTAGATCGAAATACTCACTAATGCAAATCTACGTGCTTAAGATGTCTAAGTAGTCACTCATGCTACCACCTGCGGATTCAAACTGCTAGATACCTTCCTTATCCTGTCTTTGTTCATCGTCAGTCCCTCACTCTCTCCAATGCAAGAGGTACCTCCGTAAGCTACATCTGACTTCTACTACCATGATCTCAAGCTTCCGGACAGGTATTCTCAAAAAGCACATTTAGTAGTCATAGTGAAAGGTGCTGAGTTAGATTCATAGCACCGATGACGAGCTTGAGCTACCTGTGCCGTCTGAGACAGGCACAGATGTAAGGCAAGATGACACTCTGTAATTGTGCTGCTGCACCATTGAGGGTCACCCTGTGGCTCAGGATGAGGTGCCGTTGACCAGGCCTATACCACACCTAGCTTACAAGCAAAATGCTGCTGTTTTAGGCAATGCCATCCCTGCCAAGGATGAAATCGCAGGGTGTCCAGCTAACTAAATCGTTCGACCTGTGACAATTCTGAAGCAACTCACTATGGTTAAAGTTTAGGTTACTGCTCACCGACAGCATTTGCGCGATGGAAACATATTCTTTTTTGGCATTCAAGAAAATCGTTAGCGACTTATTCAGATCAGATGGCCAGGTAGGCAGTGAATGTCCACGTGCCACATAGTGGTTGACAGGCAGACATGGCGGCGCGCCAAGGTACCATTGCGGCTCATCAGTCATGCAGCACAATGCATCCATGCTTTACCGCTATGGGTGCGCGGGTGTTGTGGCACTTCCCGGCTCGGGGTGCAACAGCCAATTGACACGCCAGGGCAGCTCTTTGATTCACCCCAAGGCTGGCGCCAGTGTCAGCGTCTTTGTGCTAAAGAGCGAAGTGCTAGTGAGCAAGTGCTGGGTGGTTGGTCATTTGCCTCACACCGAGTTAAACCCCACGTGAACAACTCACCACACCTATGCGATGCTCAAGTTGAATTAATTGAAAACCCCTCCTTTGCTATTTCAACATGGCCGCGAGGAAGTGAGTCAAAGCACAGGGCAAGCTCTTCCTAGTTCTGCTCCTTCTCCTTGTGCTGACTTGCGCCACGTATCCAAATTCTTCACTACTACACACCAAAGCCGGCCGTCCACAATGGCCGAGACGCCAAAAGCTACGCCCAAGCGGAAGCGAGGGCCCGAGACCATACTCACGCCTATCCCATTCTCATTTGACCTGTCACAGAGCACTTCGAGTGATGATGGCAGCAACAGCCCTAGATCCAATGTCGCACACAGATTCCGAGGCCTATTACTCGAGACCGCTGAAGGTGGGGGCGGGGTACCTGAAGGTGACGACGACCGTAGCGGCTATTCAAGTAAACGACGGAAGCCAGATGAGGCCATAGTGGTTGATGGACTCGGCGAATCTGATACCCATGCTCCAGTCGCCATCTCCGAAAGTGAGGTTGGCACAGGGGCAAGCTTCAAGCCGGCTGCACAGTTGCATTGGGACGATACCGTGATAAGGGCCGACCCAGCTGAACCCACTTCCCAGCAGCCAAAACCCAGAATCAGGAAAAAGAAAAGAGCAGGCACACCACCCCCGCGCCGACCCGGGATGGCAGATGAGGACGAGGACGAGAGAGAGATTGTTGACCCAGTCCGTGCCGCGCTTACTTGGCAGGAGGACGAGATCACCATCTATGATCCCGAAGACAAAGACGACGACGGTACTGGCATCAACGGTGTGGGCTTTAAACCCACTCCCGCCATTGCTCAGGCAAGAGTTATGAAGAGGCGCCAACAGATTGCCGATTACCGTAAACGAGAAGAAAGCGATGCCAGGGCCAAAAGAAGCCAAAGGCGTCACGCTGCTATCAAGATTGTTTCTTCCTCCGAGCAATCGCCCGCCCGACGAAAGGTCAAGTTTATGGAAGGAGAAAGCCTCGCATTCGTAACAATGACTTCGTGAGGGGAGACTAAATCATTGCATTGGTCATTCGCCCAATCGTTCTTGTTCAAAGCCATCGGCTTGCTCGATCTCAATTCAATATCATGATACGGCGTTGGAGGTGTCTGTTTTTAGGAGGACTATTGTACCAAGCGCTCATCGGCTATCCCAGCGACGTCTTTTCTTCTTTCTTTTGGTATTATTGGCGGGTTCCAAGCTACAAGACTGGAACCCATGGCTGTTTCCTTGTTGTTATATTTTATCTGGCTATATCCCATTCTTCAGGAAGCCTCTTTGTCGGTCAGTATAAAGACTAGCTAATTTGACACACGTCTGGCATCCAATTCTTGCGTATTATGTATTCATGTCCCAAAACGTTTTCCAGGATGATATGTCTATCCGTACATTGAGTGTTGCCAAGTATTGTACAAGCCTCGGGATTCCCAAGCTATTTATACATGTGTAACTTTTCCTCTCACCACCATTTCGAGGGCCACCACGATTTTGATGATTCCTTGAGCTTCTCTTGCTCTGCTTTTACCTTCTCTTTCTTTTCTTCGACCAACTTCTTTGCCTTTTCCCTCTTGCTTTCGTTGATGATTTCGATGTTTCTCTTCATGTCTCTCTTCTCGCATCTTCGTAGATATTGGCAGTACTCGTATTGTCCCATACTCGCAAGCACAAAGGTCCCAACCGCCCAGTTCGCCGCTTTTCCAATTTTGCCTAGAAAGTAGAAACCGGGAATGTTAGCCTATAGGTCACAACTTGCGCAGTCCATTCCATCTCAACCGATAGATATTTGGCAGTAGGGCAATTGCGAACCGGAAAAGACAAATCGCACGCCACCGAGACCGAAGCCCCCGGCAATACCAGTGAGGAGAGCGTTTCGGGCGCAGGGCGTGCTGGCGACGTTCTTGAAGTCGTCGGGCTTGATCATCGCTACGGCGTTGGAGATGGTAGGGCGCTCATCGTCGCCGATTTTGGTCTCGTCGATGGGCTTGGACCAGACGTTCAGGGTCTTCTGGTTCGGGCCCGGAGGCGGTAGGCCGTTACCATTGCCATTGCCACTGTCCGACGCCATTTCTGGCTACCTGTGCAGCGCAATTGTTGGCATACAATTTGTTGGAGGTCGTATGGGTCTCGTGCGATTTCTGGGCCGCCTGATGCTCCAGGTGCTAAGGCTGAGCCGATACCGAGCTTAGTGCTCTGTGTTAGTGTGTCCCATATGTTCTGCACTGGAGTCACTAACATTCATCCTGCAGCACATATGATGACTAAGATATCTACCCAGGTCAGCCCATCATTGATTGTTCAAAGTCTTGGCCAGAAATCCGAACCAGTAGCAGTTTGAAGAGAAGCAGGAGATATATTGGAGAGATCTTCAAAGCTACTCTAGTTACCCGTGGCATGCTATCCCTTCTAATCACCTCTAATCCGACATTTTTTCTGTTACTATCCCAGGTGAGTGTCTGCTACCAGCAAAGCAAGAACATGGGAACTCGGCTCACGTTGAGCCATAATTAGCCGCCAGCAAGACCCAGAGTGCAGTAATAAGCACCAAGAGAGCTACGCCGATTGGCGAAAGCCTCCAAAGCGATGCTTTGATCTACCCGGGAAGGTTCCCGTATTCTCAATTTGCAGGTCTTGGCATCTAGGGTACTTTCAATATAAGCTTGTTACCTGATGAAGAGCTACCGACCTAAATTCCACTCGATCCAAAAAGAAATATGATGGATCTTTTCTCCTCCTCCATTATTAACCAGTGTTATGCGCGTACTACGTTACTAGACGACGGGTGGCTGTCAATCCCTGTCCAGACCTGCCGCCTGTCCCATTAAGAGACTTGAGACAACCAACCCATGACGTCTTAGGAGGAACCAAGCTTTTTGTGCGATGATTAGCATGCAAGGATAAAGCTTCTTTAACATTTGCATGATGGCTGAAGCAAGAACCAATTACCCTCGCTGCAGTCTACAGCTATTAAATGGGCCTACCTCGCTTGTACTCGAAGCTCCTGCCAATTTTGAGGCCTTGGATACGTGTGAGCCAATACAAACACTTGCAGAAGGCACAGGGAGCAGTAGCAGCCTCCACTAAATAATACCTTACGTAGGCTTGGAGGGGGCACAAGAAAACAGCTGGCAAGATGGCGCGAAAATATCCGACGAAACAGGCGCGCCATGGAGATTAATAGAAAACCCCTTATTAGTTTTTTCCTCCAAGAGATCCAGCGCCAAGACACGTGCAACCCCAATTGCCGCTCTCCTCATTCGTGCCTTCCATCCCAGGGACAGCTATTCGGGGCCACTGATAAGGTAGGTTCGTCCCTGTCCGCTCCTAGCGCCAACCTTCCGTGTGCTTGGGTTGCGACTCGGCGCATCCCCCCCATACCTTCCCATCTTTTCTCAACATCAAGCGTCGACCGAGCAGGTGTGCGCTGCTAGATGCAATAGCGCTCAATGCACCCATTCTCGGTTCTCGCCATCGGCATTTTCATATCTGGTTATATTACCGCCCGTTGGGACCTTGTCACCCGCCTCTATGAGCTTGCTATTTTTGCCTGGGAATACGGTGTAGTTGTAAGCCCTCCACCACATACCGACCACGCAACCCCCCTTGCCCCTCTGGCCATTTGCAAGCTAACATGTCTACTTTCCTTGCTGTAGGCGCGTGCAGCCCAGGGATTCGCCCTTCTGACTACTATTTTCTTCGGTATCTTTGTTCCAGTCGCGCTGGTAGCACAGAAGGAGACGAAACTGGTACGTTTGCGGATTCGACATGGGGTGGGGAGAGCCAAGAACTGACCTTGCATAGCATCCACGCACACCCGGTATAGGTGTTTCTGCACGAGAACAGCTACGGCGGCGAGGATCCTTCTAAACTGGGCGCGGGCGATCGATTGAGGGCCCGCCGTTTGATATGGTAGAGCATGATGGATTGATGAGAGTGTTCTGGCCGACCGACGTCCCTAAGTCCGATCGTCCAGGGGTCGTTGTGGGATGGAGAAACTCGAACCTCGACGTGTTCGTTGTTGCGATCTTAGACGACACTGATGTTTGTGAAGATCACGATGTCCCAAGTACGTTCTGGGCAGATTTTGGACTGACTTGTCATCGCTCCTAGCCTCGCAATGTCGAATTTCACCTCAAGGCCGGAACTCTCTTCCGGAATTCACCATACCCTCCGGCGCATTTCTACGAGCTATGCGGACACACATCGATGCACGTTCTCGGCGTCTCCAATGTCGTTGATCCCACAACCGCCGACCCTTCCTGGGTTTGCGCCAGGACGAGTCCAACGTTACAAGTACCGATAATCACATGCCCCAAGGCATCCAGCGTTCAAATCATTCTCTACGATCGACCCCAACCCCAGGGGATGCAGTACATATCTCTCAACCCCATAGCCCTCGCGCTTGGGGATCAAAACGGTGAAGAAGGTGTAAAGAGTGAGGATCAGGAAAGCGCCGAAGAGACACAAGAAAGGAAGGCAAAAGAGGCGAAGCGGAAGTTGGTGGAGAAGCTAAAGTTGCATACCATTACGAAGAGGATCCCTTCGGCGAGGGACAAGGCGCTACCCAAGATTGTCAACCAGGTGAACTGGTCTTTCGAGCTTGAGAAGACTCTACAAAAGAATGTCGGGAGGCTAGGACCCAGGCCGAAGCGAAGTCTTAGTGTTTCTGAGCGGGTGGTTGAGTCCGCCGCGACGATGCGGAACTTTGTGCATATGCAGCTCCTCGACCTCTTCGCCGCATATGTGTTTCCAGTTATTCAAAAGACATTCATCTTCTTCTTGCTGGGTCACCGAATACTGGCGGAAATGCTTCTCACCGTCCTGGAGTTTCGAATCAAACCAGGATCTGCCGCTTTGAAGGATATCTCAGCAACGGCACAGCAAATTGAGATCAGGCTTCAGCAGTTCTGTTATTGGCCAATGCAATATGTCACTTTGCGCAAACGAAATACGAATTGGGCAAGCATAACAACAAGCCACCCCGACTACATTCGCTTTTACAACAGTCTATGGCTGGTTGCCAACGACGTAATCATCGGTCTCGCCCTTGGCTCTTACATAATTGAGCATGCAGACTGGGTTGCTGAGCAGGTGAATGACATTCTTCGCAAATACACAGTGGAAGCATTGCAAAGTAGTATCTCTTGGCTCATGGGCTGGCCGGCTGGCCTGAAACTGAACGCTGAGCTTGCTACGTTCCTTGGCGATTTGTTTCTTTGGGTGATTGACTACTGGTCAAGTAAGTTGGCCATCTCCGATGCGCAATCAATATGTGACGTGGGTGCTAACCACAAGTGACTTGTATAGATTGTGTCTATATGTTGAGCCCTGCCTTGCCAAAAATCGTCTGGTTTGTTGGATTCTCTTCGTTTGCAGGAGCCAGCATGCCCATTGCTTTAGTATCCGATTTTGTCTCAGCCTTGACCGTCCACATTTACTCCTTCTACCTCGCCTCAGCTCGCATATACCACTGGCAGCTGACTATTCTTGTATCCCTATTCCATCTTTTTCGTGGCAAGAAGCATAATGTTCTGCGCAACCGTATCGACTCTTGCGACTATGATCTAGATCAACTTCTCGTGGGCACGATTCTCTTCACAGTTTTGTTCTTTCTCTTACCCACCGTGGTCGTCTTCTATCTTAATTTTGCCGTCGCGAGGATGATCATCATCGCTTTGAAGGCTGTCTTTGACACCTTACTCTCCTGTTTGAACCATTTCCCCCTCTTCGCTCTGATGCTGAGAGTCAAGGATCCAAGACGGTTGCCAGGTGAGCATCCCAAATTCATGATACCAACAATGAGATACGGTTGAACTAATGCAAGGGGGAAAATCGCAGGCGGAATTCGCTTTGAACTTCGAGATACCCAACATAATGTTAATTCTGACCCCAACTCACCCGACGTACCGCGTGGAACGCCTACATCCGTCATCTACTTTAAGGTATGCTAAATCAAGTCTTATCAAGCGATGTTGGGCCAAGCGACGTGCACAACCTCTAACACACTTCCAGTCTATACCTTTACCCTTCGAAGTAATGTTCCAACAGTATTTCCAAATGGCTCAACGGATCCGAAAGCACTACTTCTCGCCCCGGGTTTTGCTTTGTCTAGTGACGGGCAAGTTTGTGCCCCCTATAGACAGGAGGAATTTGTATAGTTTGCAATACAGCATGCTCCCCGCAAGGAGGGCCACGGTTTGGGAAATGTGGAGGGCAGTCAGTGTTGAACTACCACAGACACAAAAGAAATCTGCACAGAGGCCCTTCAATCCGTCGATGCAAAATTGGGGGAAACGGGCAGGAAACGGTAGAGCTAGAGCATACCATTAAATGAATACAAATAGAATTTTAAACATCCATTCAGATGGTTCTCACATGGTGCTGATTAGGCGCTAAGGCAAGAGCTAAGGACAGCGTATCCTGCCTGCATCGACCATTGTTCGGATTTCACAATAGCTCTATTCTCAAACGAGCCCATCTCACATTATCTTCAGGTTAAAGCCGCCCGCCCTATTGTGTGACTCTCAGACAATCTCAGAATGTATTCTTCCTTGCGGTTACTTATTCCCTCTACGCCTCGCAGCGTCTTTTTCTCTTCCTCTTCTTCTTCGCCCGTTCAGATCTCGTTTCTATTTCAACTATCACATCTACACAACCCAGCATCTTACTGACGTCGACGAATCTGTGGCCATCTCGTTCGGACCTCAATCTCCCTCTCAACGTGAGCCGCCATTGTTCATTCTTTCAACGTCAAGCAACATCAATTTCACATTCGTGTGGTTCCTAAAAAGACAATCTTGTGTTTTATCACAGCAACAAGGTTTGTAGTCGCGACCTCGTCTCCCAATGAACGAACTTGAAGAGCTAACGAGAATATACCTTAGCAAATATGTGGCAGCTACGCTTCCTAAAGAAGCTTTTCCCGCGCCCAGGCAACCCGGGCTTGAATTTGTTCTTATACGAGGTGGAACATATCCATAAGCTATTGACTGCTCCCGTCGTCAAAAAGCCGGTCGAAGCTTCACAACCGGTGCTCAACAGACCTACTCAGGCAAGACCTACAACGCCATCATTCACTCCGGTGCCAATCAAAAATGAAGAAGATGGGGAAGCCGCCTGCGCCTTGATCGCCGAGGTCCCAAAGAAGCCCCCGGTGCCCAACAGACGTACCAACAGACCTACAACACGATCATCCACTCCAGTGCCAATCAAAACTGAAGAAGCTAAGGAAGCCGCCCGCACCTTGATCAACAAGGTCCCTAAGAAGCCCCTGGTGCCGATTATTGTCTTGACCACACCTGGAGGGCAAGTTGTTGAAGCACAAAACATTCCGGCGTGGAGGAAGATCGAGATCCCTTTCCATTACCGGCTCAAAGTAAAACGCGAGCTGAATAATGATAAGTGGCTGAGCCCAGCCCTCTGCCGAAGAATGCGCAAGAAAATACGGCGACGACAGATGGATGAGTGAACCAAGGCGTCCCCTACGCTCAAAAGGCTATCCCATTGCCGAGTCTTGATATAAACCAAAAGTCGAGGATGGTCAAAGGTAACAAACAAGGCAGGATATTTCCTATGCAAACTCATTTCAAGGTGCTATCCGTTGGTTCTCACTCCTTTCCACATGTATTCAATATGTTGAGCAAACAAGGAAATGAGCGTTCTTTGCTTCGAGGAAATCTTTAGTTGGTATCACTTGCTACACAATTCCTGTATTATCATAGTCAATGGCTGCTAGAAACATGCATCCAAACATAGCGTCAATACAACCCAAGGTTTCTTTTATCAAGCAAGTAATGACAGTGCCGGATATACTGACAAACAATGAATAGGCCGCTGCCATGACAGCATCACACCATAGTGATAGCAGAGTGTTGCCCGACATGTACAGCAGCTATATGCAGGACTCCCGAAACAGAAATAATGAAGTATGCACTTCACGTCACAACGGCTCGCTAGCAAGCACGAGTCATCGTGGAGGGGCACCACTGGACTGCCCGGTCTGCAGCATGGTAAGATGTGAGGGTTGGGGTGTTACGTCGGGGAACAGGTGCAGATGCATTGCATAATTAATGGCCACAGCTCGATGGAACATAGCCTTGCAGACGATTGATCTGAGAAATGGTCATACTATGATGATTCCGAGTCTTCGCGTGCATGCATAGCTATGGGAGCACCTGTCTGTGATGTAGGGACGGATTACTGGGCCTAACCTGAGGTGCTGAGCTCAATACTGTTCAATGCTGTAATGGAAGAACAGGTCCATTCTGCAGTCCAGCCCGGCCCATCACCCCACCATCATCCACCACCACCACCAAACCACACCACTAGGTGAGGCCCTACCACAGTCGCGTGATGCCTCCCCCAGAAACCCAGCACCACCTCCGCCAAACACATCCCACTGTTTCGAAGCGCTTCTGCACATCTGCCTCCGTACGGCGACTAGGGTGCCCGAGCATATAACCCACTAGCCTGCCATTTGACGTCACCCTCCTCCAATTTGACTCCTGCTCTACAGCTGCAGTTCACCGACCTATCAAGCACCCTTCCGACCTGCTTCTAGCGTGCGCCATCCCTACCTATACATGTCATTGCTGTCTTTCGTTTCGGCCACTAACAGTGCTAGAGACTCGTCAGGGTCTTCACGTGTCGGTTCCTTAGCTCCGTTATGCTCACCCTCGATTCACTGGGAGTGCGGATGAGAGACTGACCATTTGGTCCGGCTCGTATAAAGGGAGCCTGTGGCCTGTTTTGGTCTACGATTTTGCAGCTTCTGTAAGTTTGCTTGATCAGAAAATCTCCAGTGCCACGTTAATACTGCATTCAATTGCTCTCTACCGTTGCTTTCCTATCCCTTACCCCAGACCACTCCTCAGACTGTTTTGGACCCTTCCCCCAATCACGTAAACAAGCTCTCTTCCCCAAGCTCCTCAGGCCATTATAGCCGCCCTCTCAGCATCAGAATTCGCCCACCAATCTTGCTTCCCGTAGTTCAATACTCATTCAATGGCTACTCAGGCCGAGGTATCAACCCATCCCTTGGCAGGGCCTAAGGTACTTTATCGAAGCAGCACCATGGATCCCAAAGAGCGGTTCTACCGCCATTTCCTCGAAAGCGATACCGGTAAGCAGCAAGCCCTCACCGTGAAGCGTGTTTTTGGTTCTTCAGCACGTGGGAAGAACCTTGCAGAAACTAATTGTATATTTGTCAATTTTCCCCTTGTGTCTAGACCTTCGAGACCAGATAAGCCAACTCCAATCACTGGCAAATGTTGGCGGAGAGCGCCAAGAGGCCATTGATCACATCCTTGCCGGTATCTCGAAACTCCAGAACGAAGTCGCTGATGCTGCCGACTTCACACCATCCTACGACCGTAAACAGTATTCCGAAGTAGGTGTTCCCTGCTGTCTTGGTCCATGGGCTTTTTGCTCACCCATCTAGGCCGTGAAAAACATCCAGGATGCACTCAACGAAACCGTCACCAAGATCACGCCCAAGTCACGATTCCAATTCAAGCGCACCACCAAGACCGTCTACGTCGATATGGGTGCGCCCGAGAACGATCCTCGCTTGAACCCTGGCAGCTTGTCTCGCAAGAACACACTGTCCGATGACGCTGAGGAATCATCGGCTGCTGTCGTGGAGGACACCGTGAGCGAACTCCCATCTTCTAAGAACTACAATGAAGAGCTCTCGCGGCCCAGCTCCTCGTCTGTGCGCAAGCCGAGTTTCTCTGCAGCTCGAAGTATCGGAATCTCCAACCAGACCGGCCTGCACATCATACTCCCGTCATCGGCGGCGAGGGCAACGGCTGCGGGGAGCTTGACAGATCTCTCGGGCTGCATTATCGACATGTCTATCCCAACATCTGGGGGGACAGCTTTCCCCGGGCTTGCTCTGAAGAACATCAAGACAAGCTTGGTCGTTGCCGGTCGTGTGAATGGGCCGGTTCATATCACTGGTGTGACGGACAGTATCCTAGTCGTGGCAGCACGGCAGGTCAGGATTCATGAGTGCAAGAATGTTGATATCTATCTGCACTGCGGTAGTCATCCTATCATTGAGGATTGCTCGGGAATGCGTTTCGCGCCCCTCCCAGCATGTTATGTGAGAATTCTTCCCAGCCTCACGCCATGTAACCGTACTGACTTCATTCCCCCACAGGTGTCGGAAGCAGAAGAAACTAGTGAGAACCAGTGGGACCAGGTTGACGACTTCAAGTGGCTCAAGACAGGGCATAGCCCGAACTGGAGCATTCTCGCGGAGGAAGAGAGACTCAGCCCTGAGGTTTGGACTGGCATTGTACCGGGGAAGCCAGGTGCCAGCGTTGACGAGATTCTGGCCAAAGTTGGGATTCCACGGACGTGAAATTAAAGCATCTTGCGATATCTCCCTCGCGCCGTCTAGTTAATTCAGATACACGCTTTAACACCACGTATGAAAAAAACAAGCTCTCATGCTTGCTGTAATGCTCCCTTCTTCAGAACGCCGTACATGCCGAAAAATAAAACCCATATTTACCATCCCTAGCCCAAATAAACAGTCGGCGGGTGTATAAATGCGGCGAAAGAAACCGTAGAAAGAAAATACTCAGGACGCAGAAGTGGCCAGCCTCAAGTCTCCATCCTATCGCCGGTTGGCGCGTCGTTCTTCCCAAAGGCCAGCCCCTCCTCCCTCAGCCTCTCCAGCAGCGCCCTCTGCTTCTCGATGCGCGCCTCGAGCTCCCTCATCTCGGCGTCCTGCTCGGCGACGGTGCGCGACATGTCGGGGAGGCCGCGGACCTGCTCGCGGGCGCGCTGCAGCTTGTGCTTGATGCCGTCAGTCGCGTTGGGCACGTCCTTGAAGGTGAGGCGCTTGCCGTTTCCTCCGTCGCCCCCCGCCGTCGCCGCCGATGCCGCCGCCGAGGGCGTGCTCGTGCTCGTGGGCAGCTTGGGGGCGCCGCCGGCGGCCGGGTCCTGCTCCTGGTTCTGGAGGCTCTCGCGGGCTGTCTCGTGCACCTTTTGGAGGACGTTGTAGAGCTCGGTGAGGACGTCGAGGGTGTCTGGGGAGAAGGTCGGGGGGAGGGCGAGGGGGTGAGGCTCGTTGGACATTTTGGCTGGTTGGAATTGGTTGGTCGCAGAAGATGCAGTGTGTGTGGTCGTGGTTCAGAGCTGCTCGAGCGTGAAGGTGTTGCAAGCCGAAGATTAATTAGCAGCTGGTAATTTTATCGATCGCACTGTGAAACACTGTAAATCTGTGAGGCGTTACAGTGTGTTGAACAGTGTGAAAAGAAACCGGCATACCAGCACATCGGCTCAGAATCGACAAATGACTTGCCATCCAATATAACTTCATCTCCTATTGCTCCTGGTCACCTTGATTCCTGCTCCCATATCTACACCCCAATCCCCGCCTCAAAAGATCCAACACCAATGAAGCCATCCAGCATGTTCGGACTCAATCCCGCAAGCCACTCCAGCCCAAACTTAATTGCTGCCATCCGCCCGTTGCCACGACGGGCTCAGACGGCGCCTCCAAAGGCTATCACAGGCCGGAGCTCCGGGCGCCCTGACTACGTCCTGACCTTCTGTTACATGCTCGTCTATCTAGAGGTGGGCTGGCTGATCACTCTGCTATGGCGCTCGTATGTGAAGCCGGGTGATTGGCTTGCCTGAGCAGCTCCTACAAACATCAACATCCAACTCCCTTTCAGTACCTACCTAGGTACCCATGGCTCTACCCGTATTCAACCATTTGGGGGTGAGGCCAACCTTTGTTCAAGACGGACGTGCCTGCAGTGCTTTAGCACTAAGCCCTTGCGCCCTTGAGCTTGAGAAAACTACTTGGCAAACGATCCCTGATCTTGCCCATTGAAAGGCAAGGTAGGATTAGCTACACCCGAGCTATCTAAGCCTATCTAACATCAATCGCCAGATGCACCAGATAATCGGCTGCGCTGATAAAATGCACCTTGGAGGAGCCGCTAAGGAACCCGTTTCCGCGAACTAGGTCTTTGTACGACACGAAGCCGATATGCATGCATCATGGACGTGAGGCGCCAAAATCAACCCCTCACCTATGCGCACGATCAGCCTGTAGGGTGTCCACGCCACCGAGTCCCAGGTGGTGTGTGTATCAGGAGTCGCCTTGACCGGGATCCGTTGAAGAGATGCGTATGCAACCTCGCGGTTCTAGAACGACTTCCTTGCCCCGAGGTGCAGCTGGATCTGAGTTGGGGCGCAGGGCCTAGAACCTGCGGCTCCCCAGAATTCTCGCCTCTCTTGAAGTCCAGATCTCAGGGCCCGCATGAAGCTAGGGACGCCGCCTTAGCCGCTACGGCCAGCCCCCATTTGATTGTATTCAGGATATAAAGGGTTAATAATGGATGATGGCCATCGAATTGTCAGACGGCTATCGGGCGAAGAGGGTGAAGAGTGGCATCCAATTGGTAGTTTAAGCTTAGGTAGGCAACTTGGCCAACTACCAGGGACTAACATCGACATCACATATTACGAGATCAAAGAAGCATTAAGATATATAACCACCTGACTAAAAGCACCAACTGTGGCGATGTGAAGAGCGGTTTGATGGAGCTTCGGCAAGCCCTATCACCGACTAGACCCTGAGAAGGCATTTTATACACCATAATCGCCTTTTCGCAGGGGCAGATGCTCAGTCAGCCATTAAAAGCTACAGAGGATTAGTGATATAAATACCACCTAGAGAAATTACACACGAGGGGCGCGAGAGTACACATGTGCAGTTCAGACAAGACATGGATGGGGTCAACTTGGGAAACTCCGTCCCCTTGAAAAAACTTCATCGCCTTAGACGTCTCATGTTGCGAAGATAAAGATGATCTCCCGGCCGGCATATCTACGATTTGAACGGGAGTGGCACACCCAATCATCAACAGGCTACCGCTTTCCAGCAGTTTCGGTAAGGATAGTCGCCTTCTTGATCATCAAGGATCGACATCGTGAGACGCATCCGGGGACATCATCAAGCATTTCGTGTACCGATCGTGCAGCAGCCCACAGAGTTTCATTTAAGATAGAACTCGAGCGAAATATGCTGGACTGACCGAATGACGACATTGTCTGAAGGCGCAGCTGTCTGGGATGCTTCCTCATCCGGCCATGCTGTCAGAAATAACCCACGACGAGGGATTCGGCCATGGCCAGCTGCTCATCAAACGCAGATCACTCATTGGGAGGGGGTCCGGCTACGTCAGTTGCGGTGGGAAAAGTAAGGATCGTCCAAGGGTCCAGCCAGGGTTGCTCGCATCCAGGCACCAACTGTCACGGCATTTGGACACAGCACTGGATCATCATAGCCTCCACCATCCTCTACATTGTTGGTCCGGCTCGTCGGATTATATAGAGGTAATAATATGCCCTCTTATACGTGAAATGGCCAGAGCGGTTCCGCGCATTGAAGGGTCTGCCAGAACAACAGAGCTATGACGTATGTGGTATCAAGCTGTCAGTTGAGAGGAGAATGGCCTAGGGACCTCGAACTCGGGTAGGAAGCGTGGTAATAGAAATGGGGAGCGCAGGGAACTGGTGCAGCTTTCGCAGAAGTTTTGGTCAGGTTTTGGACTTGACTGGTGGGGTTTTTGATGGATCAGAGGCCACAATATGACCTACTTCCAGGGGGGTCAGGCCAGCCTCTTCGGGGGGGTGTCCACGGGCGAACAGGGCTGGAGCTAACCGCAGCGACGGGGGGCTGCAGTACCGAACACCTCGCCATGTGTCAAAAAATCTTAATATGGGGGAGATGCCAGGAGCATCGAGTTTGTCGCTCGCCATCGAGCATCGCGACCGCAGTGGCTCTTGTGCCAAATCTTGATGAGGAGGCGAATTAATGGCACCCCAGGGCCCCCCGGTGTGGTGCCACGCCCTGGGACCGCCTGGCGAATGGGAGAGAGCAGACGGTGACAGCGGCTATACCCAGAGTGGCTCTTCTGTGGGCCGAGGTGGGGTGACCTAGCAACTTTGTCCCGATGGCTCCTGATCCCAACGCTCCCTGTCAGTCGTGGGAATCGGTGCAATTAGCGTGCGATCTGTGATTCCTCACTCCAAGTCCTGGCCTCCAGCACACGACCCTGGGCCATCGCCCTCCACCATCATGGGATGGCCACTCCGTTTTCTTCTCTTCCATGAATCGAAATTCAGACATTCCGAACATCTTCAGTCGGACTCTGCCATTCCATTTTGCCTCTTGAAAATCACGTGAGATCTGCAGCAGACTCTTAAAACCATTCAGCCATTTGTCTAAGTGGTCTGCCCGTCGTATCGACCAGATCCAGAATCCTTAAACCAATTCATGACCTACGAACCCCCCTCAATCCACCTGAGCGTGTCTGTCATTTAATCTTTATCTAAATCTGCGCGCTCCTTGAATTTCCCGCCGAACTCGGTTCTATTTATTATTTCCAACTCGCGATCGAGCAAAAAGTGCTGAGACCGACCGACCGACCAGAAAGCGGTTTCGCACAATTACTTCTCTACGCCTACAGCGCACCTAATACGAAGCACGGTCCCATCTACAGTCCGGATCCAAAAGTGCAGCTGTTCCTCGCTCGCCGCTGTACTCCACGAGCTATCGCTGAGATATACGTTCAGCGATACTGAGCTGCGTTGGAACTCGTACGTCCTACAACAGGCGCATTGCCAGAGCATCGAACATCGAGCAATTCAACCGAACCTGCGACACGAAGTGTTACGACGTTAGGAGTGGGCACGATTCCAGAGCATTCCAGCCAAACCTCAGCAGTTTCCGTCTACCCTGTGGCTGGATCCATCGACCAACGGAACACATTCGCAAACCACCACCTATCGCAGCCAGCAAGGGCACATAAAAACAACTTTTGCGGCATCTAGGGATCAGATCTGCATCGATCGGGGGTTTCTTGGGATTGCTCTACTCTTTGAGTTGATGCAGCCCAATTCAAGTGGTGAGTTGTGACACTTGTCGAGCTATCCGCCGCCTTCTTCGTCATACAACGATTTCTGCACCGATCGATCGATCCAGCGACCAGCCCAACCAATCAGAGCCCCGCAACCACCAGGTCACATCACTGTCAATTCGCACCAAAAGCCAAACACTGCTGAGTTTCAGTGGTCTCGTCGAATCCTAGCTGACATTGACTTGCTTATAGGGAGTATAAGCAACTGTTGAGGTGGAGTCCCCCCCCTACGTCACAAACGGCAGGGTCTCAGACACCAACCTAGAAATACCGATCCCATCGCAGAGTGCTGGGCAATGAGTGCCAAATAGCACTCATGTTGGCCGATCACAATAGAGCTTCACAATTGTCAGGTTTGATTACATGACCGCAACATGCCCGATACACAGAATAAGTCTCAAGGGACGCAGCCACCACCACTCTCAGTCCCGCATGGTCATCCCCTCCCACGACGTAGCTCACCAGGAAATTCGATAACGCTTCAGCATCACCGAGCGACTCGAGATGCATCTCTCCGAGCCAGTGCGGGCTCCGTCCCTCCCGGTGGCACCGATACAGCCTCATCCCCTCGACAAGAATCATCTGGTGACAGCCACAACACCAGTTCTAGCGATCCCAATAAATGGTTCGATCACTCGAACAAAAATCCCACGGCGAACTTTGAAAGTCATGCCATGGATGGTATGACCAATTCTAGACGCGAACTTGGACTAAATCATTGCTGATCACTTATAGTTGATCCGCCCTTCTTCCAAAAGGAATCTGATTCGTCGAACGAAGAAAAGTCTTTCCAGCCGCTCCATCTCGATGCTCCTCAGTTCGCAGGCCCCCAGAGTAGCAGTGCCGACGAGTATCGCAGTGTGATAGACGACTTGACGGTGGAAATTCAACGACTTAAAGACCAATTGCGACGATACAAGCAAAAGGGACCCGATACGTTACGTAAGGATAAGCTGTTTGAAATCAAGTTCCATGGCTTGCCGAGAAACAAGAAACGCGAGCTCGAGGCGACGCTCCGGGATTTCGCAGCGAGTTTGGAGGGTTCGCCTAATGGGTCTTCGTCGAAACGAGACAAGACTTCTAAGCACACAAGCCGAAATAATATGTATTCGGCATCCGGTTCGATGTCCAAGCATGCATCGTCTTCTTCGGGTTCCCACGCCCGCCCGGCCGATTCAGCCTATGCCTCGATGTCGACTGGAGCTAACTCCTCCGGAACCTCTCTGGCTCGCCCATCGATGAGTTCCCGAGCGAAGTCATCTGAACAGAAAGTGGAGAGTTATCTTCGAGATATTCCCGAAGGGTTGTACCCTCGGCATGTCTTGATGACGGATAAGGAGAGGAAGAAGCTTGTTGTCAGGCGTCTTGAGCAGCTCTTCACCGGAAAGATAAGTGGACGTCGCTTCCGCCGAAACCAGAACAATGGGCCTCCACAGGCAGGGAATACTACCCTTCTGGCTGTGGTACCTGACGAACAAACTCGACCTGTTGTAAATCAAACTCCAAGTTTGGTGAACCCAGAACTAGCGAGAGAGGCGCGAATCCTTCCTCCCGAGCTGCAGCCTTCTTCGGGAAAGAAAAGCCGATCTCGTGACAATGGCTCAGCATCGAACTCTAATGGAGACCAGACTGAGTCTGGAGGTAATGGGAACAGTAGTGGGAGTGGCCACGCAAACACTTCTCCCACAGGACCGCCTCCTGCGCCTGACCAGCGTCCCACTCGTCTCACAGACCTCGACCCTGATCGCACGCAAGTCCCTTCCGAGAACATGGATTATATTAAGCATCTCGGCCTTGTCCCCCCCGGCTTGCTCAGCGAACCTTCGGAAGACGTGCATCCGGACGCTGAGGGTTGGGTATATCTAAACCTTCTGTGCAATTTAGCACAACTGCACATCATCAACGTTACCCCTGCCTTTGTTCGCCAAGCTGTCTCTGAAAAGAGCACCAAGTTTCAGCTGTCCCCTGATGGGCGCAAGATTCGCTGGCGAGGAGGTAGCGAGGGCACCAAGTTCAGTAGTGACAGTTCTGGCGAGAACTCTGCGAACAACAGCATGGATATTGATACGGATAGCTTGGATACGTCTCACAAGCGACAGAAGACGGGGCACTCGACTGGAACTGGTGACGACTTGTCCGGAAGCTCAAGTAAAAGACTTTCCAATTTTGGGCTGCAATATTCGTCCTCGGCGAGTTTCCATTACAAACCCATCTTTATCCATCAGAACTCATCAAATGGACAACCTTCGATGGACGAGACACTTTCATCTACTGGACCTGTTGATGATAGCAATGTGGACGATTCTCGGTGGGGTCAGAGTGGCTCAGGAATGTCAAACCGTCGGAAGAGACGCCAAGACGGTGCCATCATTTATTACAGCGGTGCTCCATTCTGCACCGACTTGTCTGGGGATCCTGGAGACCTATCGCCGACAGCATATATGGCGTCAAGTAAGCAAGATACCTCCGGTGGCACTCGCCCAATAACACATCGATCACAATCAGGATCATCCTTGCCATATCGCCCCTTGAGTGATCTCAAGGGGAGGTTGTCCGACCACTCTCTGGCTATGGATATAGATAACGACGATTCTATGCCTGGATTGGCGACGGACTTGAGCGATGATGCCAGCGAGATTGACTTGGACCTGGAATGGAGTGCTGATCAGCAGTATTTGGAGGTCCATACTTTGGAACCATGTGGCTTAGGCGGTGTGTTACCCGAAGACCACTTCATGGTAGTCGTAACCACCAAGCGACCGAAAGGTGAAACCGCCTCATCCGCCGCAGCCGGGAAGGGTCTGAGAGACGATGAAATTACAGAGGGCATCATTGGGAGGCTGGCTTCCATGTCGACCTCCTCGCCGGGACCTTTGTCGTCTTTGTCCGGTCAGCCTACCGGGCGCCCCGTAGAGATTGAATATGTGTCAGGGCGCATCAAGCGACTTGCGCCTGTGCGGCTTCCTCCGCCAGCCATATTCTTCCCTCCATTCAGTACAGACACCTCCGCTGATGACGATGATGAAGCGGTCTCGTTTAGTTTTGATGATGATGCAAAGTCATCATCCGAAGAGTTGGCAAGCCGCAAAGCCAACGTCCACCACTCAGACGACTATCCGGATGGGGTAGATTTGAGCAGCGGCGATGAAGATGGAGAAGAACCAGAGAACGAACCCGACACACTGGGGATGTACGACAGTGTTGGGAGAGGGAATGGCCCCAGGCGAGCGGGGCGGAAGAAAAAGGGATCTAATAGCGCGGCAATCCCTCTAGCCCATGAGCGGAGTAAAGATTCCGCCGCGGAAGGATCGCGTGTGGGGGGAAGTTCTGCTGCCACCGCCAATAGCAGCACCGGCGAGATGAGTTCGTGAGCTGATATGTTCTCCTCTTCCTGCGATACACGTCTCTCTTGATATGTTCAAAAAGCGAGGGGCAATCATCTATCTTACGTTTTTACTTTGCCCTCTTATTCGACGATTTCTTTACGTTGCCTCATAGCGCAATGAGCATATACAAATGGGCGGGGACCAGGGCGGTATTTTCTAGCATGAAGCTTGGCGTTGGAGAGATATGGATTTATTATTAAGATGTGATTCCCCTATGAAGGCAGCCAGAGGAACTGGCTTTGTGTTTTGACTTTGATTTTGCTTTTTCTGGATGCAATTTGGCCGCGCTAATGACACGCGCGAGGGGATGATCCAAGCATGACGGGCTTGCTTGTGTCAGGTAAATTGAGAATACAATGTTGATCAAGAAAGTACGCGACGGTGCCAATAAACGTGTTTCGTAATTATAGTAGGCAAGCCAACGCCAAATATTCATCTAGACTCATCAGGTCCAGGAGGCTGCGAGCCTTGATATTGTCTCAGTAACGATGACGCTTGATGTTAGTAAGGTATTCGTAACCTCACGTGATTACAAGCTGTATATGCTAAGTCTGCCGTGGGTCTTACCTTCCATTCATTCCATCACCATGCCCAAATGAATCCAACTTGAGAGTAAATTAAATCCGTAATTGCCATCTTCTATATCTAGCCATTTTTATATTATTGTTTTTGAAAAGCGATTGGTTCAACGAGACCATCCTGGAAGATGCGAGTCTCCAGTTTCTCTCTCCTGCTTGCGTGGGTCACCACTTCTGTTCACGGCAGTGCCGGCGATAACCAAGAAGCTCGAGTCGCCGTTCCTAAAAATATTGCCATCATCGGTAGGTAATCGCTCTCGCATGCCCTTATGGCCTCGCTCTTAGACTCGCCGTTCCCGTGATATATGGAGGAAGAGAGGAAGAGAGGAAGAAAGGGGGCTAACGGGTACTTACACAGGTGCCGGAGCAGCTGGTTCATCAGCCGCATACCACTTACAAAAATACGCCGAACAGGAAAACATCAATGTCAACGTCACAGTGTTCGAAAAGTCGAGCCGGATTGGCGGCCGCACGCTGACTGTCAATGCCTTCGACTCTCCCGCGCTCCCTGTTGAACTGGGTGCATCCATCTTCGTGAACGTAAACCACATCATGTACAATGCCACCCGTGACTTCAACCTGTCCGTCAATGACCTCGAAGCCACTCTTGCAGGGGGCGATATCACAGCCATCTGGGACGGCAAGACCTTTGTCTACCAGAGCATCAGTGGCCAGTCGTGGTGGTGGGATGCCGCTAAGATGTTTTGGAAGTACGGAACAAGCCCATACTATGCCATTAAGATGGTGAATCGCGTCGTCGGCAGCTTCCTGAAGTTGTATGAGAAGCCGCATTTCCCTTTCAGATCACTCACGCAGAGGGTCTATGAGCTAGAGCTGGCAAGCATCACCAGCGTCACGGGGGAGCAGTTTCTCCGCCAAAACAATGTAAGACTACCCCAGCGCCAGTCTTATCACGTATTTTTCTAATTCGGTTCGACCCAGATCAACCCTGATTTTTCCCGAGAAATCATCCAAGCTGCCACTCGGGTCAATTATGCTTCCAACTTGGCTTATATCCACGGCTTGGAGACAATGGTGAGTTGACTACTTCTCCTTAAGAGACTTGCTCCTAACATCAGCCCAAGGTCTCGTTCGCCACAGACGGCGCTGTCCAGATCCTTGGAGGCAACTGGCAAATATTTGACAACATGATTCAATCCAGCAAGGCTTCTGTCTACAAGGAGACCGCTGTGACCTCTATTTCCCTCAGTCCCCTCCATGACGCCTCTGCGCCCAAGTATCAGCTCGCGACCAAAGACGTCTCCTCCAACCAAACAGAGGAATACCCAGTGACCTTTGACAAGGTAATAATCGCCTCGCCATGGCAGTATAGCAACATTTCTGCTCAGGAGGGCGTCATTCGCCACTCCATTGATACCATTCCCTACACCAAGCTACACGTTACTCTCTTTGCTTCTCCTTTCGCTTTACGACCGGGATTCTTTGGCCTTGAACCTGGAAGCAAGGCACCCAGTACTGTGTATACTACGCTGGGCGCCGACGAAGAGCCTCATAAGGGAGCCGAAGGTGTTGGCAGAACCGGATTCTACTCCATCAGTACCCTACGGACAGTCATCAACCCCAAGACAGCCAAGATCGAGTATCTCTACAAGATCTTCTCCGCCGAGGCAGTCAGCGCCTCGTTCTTATCAGATATTCTTGGTGCCAAGGTCCCAGAGACCTTCACCACAGTGCACGAGGAGACGGAGACCAAGGACGCCGGAGTGGACGTCATCTCCTGGTACCACCCGCACTGGTTCTACTCCTACCCGATCGAGCTCCCCCGTGTCACGTTCCAGGATCCGATCATCGGAGATGGCCTGTACTACACGTCGGGAATCGAGAGCTTCATCTCCACAATGGAGACGAGCGCACTGATGGGTATGAATGTGGCGAGACTGATTGCAGATGATATCACGGAGGCGGAGGAGTCACCCTTGTACAACAATGAGGAGCTGTAGGTTCAGTGTCTGAAATTGTTGGCTCTTGTTGGCTCTTGTTGGGTTATATTTTTACTTGTTTGGTTCGTGTTTAACATAACTAGATTCCCTTGATAAATGCCTGCATTACATGGGCGCAGTCTGGTTCCCTATTAATAATTCTAAGACTTCGTTCAGCCTCACATACAAAGTACTTACGTGATTACAGCGCGTAAGGCAGAATTTTGGGTCGCATATGGGCCGCAAGAGTTCTAAGAGGAACTCTCAATAGCTTTAACAGTGATCAGCGAAGAGAGACATATCTAGCCGAGCTTGGTATCAGGCCAAGTCAGATTCCAAGCAATGTTTGGTTGATCAGTCCTTCTACGATTTCAAGTACATAAGTGTACTTGGCCGGCATCAAGCCACCTTTAGAAAACATAATGTGTCGCACAAAGGGGCTAAGTAAGTCGCACGATAGTGTGCACGGTGTCACAGGTTTGTGTGTGTTTAAATGAAGAACCGAATCCCATCCACAGGGCCAGATGACCTTTCTTTCACATGCGCCCACATTGCTAACAACCTATGATGAATTGCTCGTGTACCACAGATACCGGGTACAATCCCAATGAAGCAACTAATCGGAAAGTCGATAACGACATAGAAGGATTAGGGGTTCGTACTTGGAGCATTGAGCCTTTGATTCAACTTTCGGGTAATTAATTTGATAATTGGCACTAGGTTGTGATCGGATTTACAGCTCTATCATGGATTACAATCACACTGCTGATCGCATACTACATCGTGGGATTTGATCCAGGCAGAGACCCGTTCTTAGACTCGACCGGTAAAGCAGCCTTTCAACACCGGGAAAATCCCATCGATGGACAGCTCACAAAATTATTTACGCCCATAAGAGTTTTTCTTGTAACTTGGTTGCATGCTCAAGGAGGGGCTGAAAAGCTCTTCAACAAGGTATGTTTGTCAGGAGAGTTGCCCTCTGCATATATATAGTTATATTACATTGCAGATCTCTAACATTGACCTGGAAGTGCATTCTCAGAATAGCAGATGCTCAACTCATCACTGGTCTAGCTATTATGAGTAGCGGCTATTCCCAGCTTCACTCATCTGATCCGATAACCATTTACCATTGGCAATTGGTACTTTACCTAGCATGGTTCACTGGACTATCTCATCTCGCATCTCTCAATGGTCTCCGAATCTACTTTCACCATCACCCTTGGGCCCGGATATGGAGATTACTCCTCATCACCGCCTTACAGATTATGATTGTTGTAGCATTCATACCAACTGGTCACGGTTATTGGGAAGATACCGTCAATTGTCCAGCTGTCTGCTTCTTCAACGCAAAAATGCATACTGCATCCGATTCTTTCTGGTCAATGATCTTTTCTCTTATTCTACTCATCTATGGCTACTTCATTCGCGTTCTGAAACTATTTCGAGTGTCATCTACAGTTCTCCATTGCCGCTTACATGCCTTCCTGGATTATCTCAATCACAAGACACTGGACTCTTGCTTGTCGCTCTTTCGGCACCTTCCTTCCGGTCTGGCCCTTTATTTTGCAAATCTCCTCATACCTCTTAAAACGGGATTTTTCTTTAGCCTCAAAGTGACGTTGGACTTCTTTAGTTCATTGTTCGTTGAGGTAGGTTCCACCCTCCACGCCAATCCTTCTTCCCTCGTCGTGATACTTACTACGTAGATCGCCTTACTCCTTGTCTCTGGTGTATGGGCGACTCAACGCCTTATGGATGAGCGCAAAGCATTTCCGGGTTCAGATAACGATAAGTGGGGGTTTGGCCAGGTCATGCCTGTGGTTTTGCTTGCCGCACCACTCGTGCCAGTGGTCGAGGCAACGATTCGAACGTGTCTCTACAGAGGTTAGGCCCAGTCGATGCTACTTATCCCCTACATGAGTATGCCTAACTCGCCTTGTAGATGGTAAATTAGCGGCCAACGAGTCTGTTAGCCTAGGAAAAGGTGAGTGTTTCCAACGTTCTCGCCCCGGGGCTATAGAACCCCACCAAGAGTCTCTCTTTGGTCATAGAACTTTAAAGTATAACAAACTGCAGTTAATATAAATGCGACAACAAATAATCTTACTGATCAAGCTCCGCTGTTGGGTATCCCTATTCCCTCCCTGGATCCAGCTCCGCCAACGGAATCTGATGCGGAGATACAAAACGACGCCCTTCCCCTGAGAAGTCCGCCAATAGCACCCCGACAGGAATTTGAACTTGAGTTTCAGACAGATCCCCTTAGGTCCGAGATTAAGAGAATTGTTGATTGCGACCGGCTTTTAAACCACGAGACCATGATCCTGGCGACAATGCTCCCGCAGACAACCGGTTTATCCTGTGCTTCAACTTTCTTAATTGCGGACGTCCTTGTCAACATTTTTGGTAGACTCGGAAGAGTTGATCAGTCTAATGTTATTGTTTTCTCCCTTTCTTTCTCGCTTTTTATCGTGCCTTCAATGTGTAGTGGATATATGTGGATATCCCTCTGTTACCTGTCCTTCTGGACCAATTTGAGAGAAGGGCGGCTAAAACGGGCAATTGTCTGGTTTCTCTGCGTATTTTGGACTGGCATTTATGTTATGTTGTTTCTTTTTAGCATGTGGTATAGTGAAGTTGGAGTAGCCTCTGCGTTCGGACCGTTTGGTTTCGCCATCTTGGTCCCTTTTGTGTATACACCGTTCAGGCTTCGAGGGCTCAGAGGCATGGGGCAACAGGTGAGGGCAAGATGATCTTTGGGTCAAAGTTACTAAAGATCAATTTTGAAATAAAATTGGCCGCTGGAGCCTTGGATATCTGGATCGCCTGGTAAGATAAGCTTCTGAACCATTGCTGCACCGTATCCCTTAACCAAAGATCAAATATGATGTTGCGAGATTATCTTCTTACTACATGGCCTAACGCCTAGACTATCAAAATGGAAGGAAATGCTAAGGTCGGGAGGAGGTCTCGTCTATCGAGTAGCACCTACGAAACCCTGCCCACAGATGCGAAGCTCTCCAAACAGGTATGGATAGTCATACGTAATCTGCTCGCCCAACACGACCATGCGAGGCTCCTCAGTCATCTTGGCAATCTTCCTTCTCCATCTGCGGATCTTCTTCCGCCAGGCATCGTGCTGCCCAGGTAAGATCATGCCCAGGCCCTCCAGCCCCTGGCAGAGCATGGTGTTCTCCCACAGCCTCTGCCTCCAGTTCCCCGGGTCGTCCGCCGTGAAATGCTCGAGGTCGCGATAGGTTACGTCAAAGTCCCTCCCGAGTCTGCGCCGGGCCTCTTGCCAGTGTGGCCGCCAACGGCTACTATCTAGTAGCCATACCAAGGCGAAATTATTGTCATTTAGTGGTTCTCGAGGCTCTCGAGCATTATCGTCGGAGTCGTTGTCGTTATTAAAACCATTATTCTGACCAAACCAATCATTCTCAGCGAACTCATCCTCCTCATTACTGTCACCAAAGAAATGGTTCTGAATTGCATTGTTGAATGCATCGTCCGTAAATAGATTGGTCTGAGGTTCACTGCTTCCATCATCAGAAACGTTTTGGGACGAGAGAAAATGTATTTCATCGTTCTCATCAAAGTAAAATTTCCGAGGTTCGTCGTCGTCAAATTCGCTATGACGGTCGCTCCTACGGTCGCTCCTATCTTCACATCCGGCATACGGGCCGACGTTCTTGACTTCTCGTCGGGGATCTATCGGGACTCCTCGGGCAGCAGCCGACAAGGCTTGGTCTTCGCTCATAAGCCAACAGGCCTTATCAGGGACGCAATACTTGATATATTCGAGTCTCGTATCAAGGGTCAGGGGTCGTTGAGACGGTACGGTCTGGTTGCCATCCAGGTACGTTTCGATATCGGGTGCGAATAACTCGCCGTAGACGGCGATGTGAAAAAAGGCATCCGAGGCATCTGTAGAGATAGAGGCGGCATCGCTGGCGCCCCCGGACCAGAAGTCGGGAATAGCGCGCCACTGCTCGCCGATGCATTGGTCTATGATGTTGACGACTGGGTTGACGATGGAATATTGTACGTCTTGCAGCTCACGGAGTTGACTCATTGTAAGGCTGCATTGGCGGAGGGCCAGCCCGAGCAACCCCTCGAAGCCGCCTTGGCAGGCGGTGGCGAGGGTTTCTTCGTTGGTTGTCGATTCACGAGCCCAGTTTCCAAGCTTGCGAGCCGTTGCTGCTACAAGCAGGTTTGAGGACGGGAAGGGGGAGTAGAACGACTGTCGTACTGCGATTCGCAAGAAGGTGTTGGGCAGTGCGTCTGCCAAGATAGACCGCATCTCCTTGCATGTTAAAGAGAGGTTGCCGAAATCTTCCAGTCTACATAAATGGGTCGCAAGGAGTAGAAGGACTTCGTGTGGGAGTGAGAGTAGCCGAGAGGACATCTTTGACAGCAGATGGTGGGTATTAATCGAGAATGGCGGAGGAGAAGTCTATCCAATGTCCGAATGCTATGTTACATGTATTTATAAGGGAACACATCCTTGGATCTAGGACAACTGGACAGATACCCTAGATACGATCCCATGGACAGCCAATCGGGGGTCATATCATATTCAGCTGCAAGATGCTGACTCCGGCGCTGGTTTCAGCGAATAGCAGACCAGAACACCAGATGCACCGGAAGACAGATACTGTACAACTGACGCTGCCACTGTTCTCTTGCTTCAGTTGGTATACGTCTTGGGTACACGTATAGGAAACGCCCTCTTGTCTGACAGTTACGGCACTTAAACACCACAATAGATGAAGACCTTCGGTGTTAAAATAGGCGGATATACTAAGGAGCGACTCTCTGAAGCTACCGAAGCCTGGTTTTGTTGGGTTTTCCCCATTCAGACCTACCCATGACCATCGTCTAAGTGGTTTGGGCCATTCCATTCCACATCGACTGGCGGAGAGGACTTGTATAATGATGTGGTGGGCCAACGTCTTGTTCAGCGATTTTTACAGGCAGTTTCTAATGCACCAAACATTGTGCAACACAAGTACCTACATGCCCAAGGTAGGTAGGAAGAAATAAATGAGTAGGCTCCGGAGAGTTCCCTGATCTGAGATGACAGATAAGGGCGATAAGAAACCCCACTGGCTGCCCCTCCACGAGCAGATCAACAAGGGACTGTCGCTAGTGTTTAGGTGATCCAAGGAGGGTTAGTCCCTGAAGCTCCACCGCTACAGTGCAAAAGTTACATTACAGTTTGCCCAACCCACCAAAGGTTTGATTGGACCTTCACCAGGACACCATCATCCTGATTAGCTTAGCTGCCTGATGCTATCTCTTTGAAGCAGCTAGAGCAGCAGTTTGTACACAACAGGGGTCTGACAAGGGCATGACAAGGGTCTGATTGGCTGAAAAACCTACTACTAACAGGTATATTAGTTCTCTGCTAATTTCAGCTATAATAGAAGTCCCAACAAGTCTAACAGCTATAAATCACTATATCATATATCTCACAGCCGGATCTCATCTGTATAGGCCATTTATTATAACTTCACGATCGCAAGGGCTGCCTTCAGCCGCTCTTATCTATCCGGACACCTTAGCAGCCCTTACACAGGCTACTCTTATTCCTTAAGATACGTTTATACTGTAAAATAGGTATAATTATATTTCCGGCACAGCCTCTTTACTATAGGCTTACTTTATAGCCATATTCTCTTAGGAGATCGCAAGAAATATACACACACTACTCATACAAGGTCCGTAATAGCTTCCAATTTGGCTAGCCATACTTCTAAAGTAAGAAGCTATTACAAAGAGCTAGCTCGAAGAGAAATCCCCATACTAATACCCGCCAAGGGCCCTTATAAATACAATATTCTAATCCCTCTTAGCTTCAAAGTTAGTTACCTCTATCTACTACACCTATATAGTCGTTATAATCAGCAGCTACAGCTATAACGAGGATCTTTTTAACTAGCTATAAACCGAAATACATATAGATAGCCTGTACCCGGGCATACATTATTATAGGCTGCTTCTGGATATATATTATAAACTCTATACCTTTATAAACTATTAAGAGCAGCAGTACAAGCATATTATCCTTCCAAGCGATTTAGTTAACCTGATTATCCAGTATTAGAATTACCTTAAGTTAACCCTATTTCTACTTTAACTAGCCACTATTATCAGCCTTCTTTAGTTATACGAGTCGCTTAAAGATACTGTAATTCATACAGCAGATACTAATAGCTCCTATATTCAAACCTCTAAGAATAGTAAAGAGATTCAGGCTTAAAAAGAGATTATCTAGGAAGATATAATACATAGCTAGCAGCAGCCGTTTTACTAGGTTAATAACCACAGCCTGCATTAGGTTAACATAAGTCTTATCATCTTACTTCCTCTTCCTTAATCACGGTTTTTTATTACTAATAGAGTTAAATACCTTATAAGGCAGGTACAGCAGCTACAAGAGGAAATAGCCAGCTTCAGCTATAGCCTAAATCTTAAAGCCTTCGGGCATTAGTTTTAACTTAATAATTACTTTTTTAAGCATTCAGCCTTCAAAGTATTAGATATACTTATCTACAGCTACATTAGTACCCAGAATCCAATAACGAAGTAAGGCTTATTATATAACTACTAATCACTTAGAAATCCGGTCAAAGGAGCCCTCGTAGGTAACCTTCGGGTTATACAGCCGAAACGCATAATATAGCTATTTAAAGGTCTCATAGCTCATAAAGTATACAATAGGGTAGAAGGGCTTTATATCCTCGAGCTAAGAAGTACCCCAATAGTCTTAGAGATAAGTTTCCCTATAATTTCCCATATAAATTAAGATCCTAAGTAAGAGATATACATAGTTAGAGGAGATAATCTAGCGGTCTTAACTATCAGTTTACTTTTATACGTATATATCTAGGGCTTATAAAACGCAAGCCTAGCTTTATAACCTACACAGTTAACTGGAAGGCCATAATTCATATAGCTAGCCTACGATTTTATAAGGTTAAGAAGAATAAAAGCCTGAAATAGTGATAAGGGTATTAACAGCAGCTATATAATATATAGTTAATAAACCAGCCCGACGATAAAGGGGTCAAAACACATACCGCGCTCCTGGGCTTCCAGCTGCACCAGGCGATAGGTACAGTCAGCAGGCTGCTCACGCTGAGCTTTATTAATCCGTATATATAATTCAATATCTTCAGAAACCTTATAGGCTGCAGCTAGGCCCGGATCAGAATAAGGAGGAATGCTTACCATAGTAAATCATATGGGGAAGCTTCTTATATTACTTGGCGTAGCCCGAAGTCACAGCTTGAGGCTTTTAATAAAAGTAGGGAAATACCTGACTGCTGCTCTAGCTGCTTCAAAGAGATGACGCAGGCTGTCTGCCATATCTTGCCCTGTGATGCCATGGTCTGTTTTGCCCCAGCTGACTGACGGTCTTCATCACCGTCCTCGCCTTGGACAGTGTATTTAAACTTGCCCATAGCCAGAAGGGTCCTGTGTTGTCGTTCATTTGGTGGCCTTTATCACTGCTTGGTGCCTCCTCAAACAAAGCTGCTGGCACCTGATTTTAGCGTTTATCCCGTCACCCGGACAACTCATACTAATATCCCCCACTGAGCTGAGTGGTGGGAAAGAGGGACCGTGAAGAATTTATTGGCTTTGCATCGCGACTGCAACGTTGTCGCTTTCTTCCACACACAACTTTCTCCCTTTTTTGCCAATTTACACGCAGTCGTCATTCGACTTCGTAGGCCGCCAGGATGTTTGTGTTAAGAAACGGCAAGTATTCCCCTTTCCTCGTCTACAACTACCCGCGGCCACCACAGCGACTGCCCCGCACCAACCAACAGTTTAGGCCCCTCCAGCAATCCGCTTACTTATGCCCATTGCTCGGACGCTCTTCGCCTCCCAGTTGTATTCGTATTCTTTGCTAACCGCGTCTTCACCACAGTTGGCAAGCTGATCTTCGGCTCAAGCACACAGGAAGCGCTTTGTGAACTCCCACAAGGCCAGCTGTATCTCGTTCGACCCCTCTCGCCAAAGGGCTATTCCGAGCTTATATTCAAGGACTCTGCCATCCGCATCCGACGCACCAATCAAGAGTTCCAGTATCAACTTGTTGTTCAACGCGTCTTCGAAGAAGGCGAGGCTGAGCTGCTCGCCGACGAAGAGGGTGAAGACGCCGAAATCGACGCCCTTGCCTCAGAGCGAGACGAAAAGACCTTTTTACTTGATGAAGCGCTTCGATTCCGCGTTGAATTCAGAGAAGGCGGCGAGAAAGTCCTTGCCTGGAAGGACCTGAGCGGCGATAACGGGGACCTATATGAATTCGTTTGCGACAACTCGGTCCCGACAAAACAAGTCGAACAGTTCCTCTTGGTCTCTCAGAAGTGCCAATACGAACGCAAATACCGAAAACCAAACACGACGGCATCTGACGACGATCTCGATCAGTTCACGTTTCACGAGGAGCAACCCATCCCTCCCGCCAGCCCTCTCCATAGCCCCACCATCATCCGTTCGATTGACGACTCTATCGAAGATATGTTTTCACACAAGCCTGCTGCCAATACGGGCGCCAAGCGATCAGTCCCTGAGGCCGAACCCCTTGAGGCTGCCCCAGCTACCCCAGTTGCCCAAGAGAGTGCCCCTATTGCCGCTGAAACCCAGCCAGAAGCACTCGAGATTTATGCAGCCCAACCTGCTGAGCTTCATCTGTTTGATCCCCAGCCTGGACACTTTGCTTTGCAGGACGAATCTGTGATTGCTACTGTTTCAGAGGTCGGAAAATGGGAGTACTGGCTACAAATTCAAAGTGGGGACAAGGCTTGGGTTGGCATGCCTATCCAAGCTGAGATGAATCCTGTCTTTGATTTCAGCTTCTTGTCTTTCATCTTCAACCACTTCGGAAGCGATGGTGTTGCTCGATCCTGGTTGCTTCGCTTCAAGGATCAAAGTTCGCTCGAAAAGTTCCAGGAGGGTGTCATGCAGGCCATCTGGGAGCAGCTCAACCAGGTCAAGTGGAAGAAGGTTGAGGAGAAGGATCGTGAATACGTTCTCGATGCGTTTGGTGATTTAACCATGGAGGACGCTCCTGATATTCCAGAGGAAGAGGAGGAAGAGGAACAAGATACCCAGTCCGATGATGAGGGTGTTCGCAATGAAGAGTACGATACGGACGAAGAATATGACAACCCTGAAGTTCAAGACCAGGGTGGCGATGTCAACTCTCAACTTGCTGTTGGCTACAAGCACGATCGCTCCTTCGTCGTGCGTGGCTCCAAGATTGGTGTGTTCAAACACACTGACAACAATCGCCTGGAATTCTCCACCAATATTTCCAAGGTAACCACTCCCAACGGCGCTCTCATGAGCCCCAAGAAGGTCATGTTGCACTCGGAAGACAGAGATTTGATTTTACAAAATCAAAATGATCCAAACAAGCTCTACCGCATGGATTTGGAGTACGGCAAAGTCGTCGATGAATGGAATGTACACGATGATATCCCTGTCGTGACTTTTGCACCGGAGAAGAAGTTCTCACAGATGACATCAGAGCAAACCTTCCTGGGTGTGTCTGGCAATGCGCTGTTCCGTGTTGATCCCCGTCTTTCAGGCCAAAAGCTTGTCGACGCAGAGCTGAAGCAATACGCTACCAAGAACGACTTTTCAGCTCTCGCTACCACAGAAAAGGGATATATCGCGGTGGCAAGCAACAAGGGTGACATCCGCTTGTTCGACCGTCTCGGCATTCGCGCCAAGACATCGTTGCCCGCTCTCGGTGATCCCATCATTGGAATGGATGTCTCTGCAAATGGCCGCTGGATTCTCGGTACCACCAAGAACTACATTCTTCTCATCGATGCTGAACAGAAGACGGGCAAGAATGAAGGAAAACTTGGCTTCGAGAAGCCTTTCTCCGCAGACGCAAAGCCTCATCCTCGTCGACTGGCCCTTACTCCTGAGCATGTGGCTCAGTTCTACCACGAAACCGGCAAGCCCGTGACATTCACACCAGCCAAGTTCAATACTGGTCTCGACGGTAGTGAGGAGACTTCTATCATCACTGCAACTGGACCTTATATTGTTGAATGGAGTTTGAGGAGAATTCTCAAGGGAATGAAGACCCCCTATAAGATCAAGAGATACGAGGAAGAGGTTAAGGCTGATGACTTCAAGTTCGGTTCGGACAAGAACGTCATCGTTGCCCTGCCTAACGAGGTTAACATGGTGGCGAGGCAGAGCCTGAAGAAGCCAACCCGCGAGAGTATCATTGGCGACATTCGCCTGAGCACTCCGAGAAAGAGCTCGGGAAGACTGGGAAGTCTGAAGCTTGGCCGCGATGACATTGTGAATTCGCCATACTAAGGCAGTTATGCGCATAGAATCGTACACGTGCTTCATGGGGCCCTTGTTGCCCAGATACGCTCGGTCGGTCATAGGACGAATAGCAATGAGGGGTTCTTGACGGTGTTTATTTTGGGAGTTTATGGAAAGGCTTTTCTGGTTTTCTTCGTTCTATGCAGTCGAGGTCGGCTACGGAATGGCACTGGCCGAGTTTTTGTTTCTTGTTCTTAGATACCTGACTGATGATCTTTCGTTATGACAAACTTTTTTTTTAAAGAACTATTCAGATTGCTCTCTTGTCCTATCCAAAACAAGCATGACTTCGTCGTCACGCTCTAGAGTTTCCAAAATCGTGAATTTAGTTATCGGCATCCTAAGCATAACTCGCTATAATCCAACACTCCAGGTAGAAAAATTCAAATGCATAACCCATCAAGGCTCAACGACCCCGTGCTTTGGAGACGGCCAAGCCACGCCATCCCTTTGCCCTAGTTTGTTCCCCCTTTTTTTGGTGTTTTCCTACTGTGCTTACCCATCTTTGTGCCGACGACATCACGAAAGCCAGTAGTAACACACACTAGGAGGCAGGTGCTTCAGCTGCTGCATCAGCTGCTACCTCTGCTGGCTGCTCACCCTCGGTCTTTTCTTTACTCAGACCGCCCACAAGCTTCTCAACACCTTCGACAGCGTGTTGGATCTTCTGTCCCAGGCCAACCACGCCGCCTTTGGCGCCGGACGAAGCATTGTTGCTTATACGGATCATCTCAGCAACGAAGCTGGCACCCCACCACGCAGAGGTGTACTTGAAGACATAGCGTTCAAGCTTGCGGAAGTTGGCCTCGCGCTGGTCGGGGCTCATTGTGACGGCGTCGTGGATGGCATTGGCAAGCTCTTCCGTGTTCCAGGGGTTGACGATGATGCTGCCGTTCAGGGACTGCGCAGCGCCGGTGAACTCGCTCAGAATCATAACACCGTGGTTCTTTTGCTGAGTGGCAATGTACTCGTAGGATACAAGGTTCATGCCATCGCGAGTGGAGGAGACCAGGCAGACGTCTGACACAGCGTAGAGAGCCGTGAGCTCGTCAAAGGAGACAGACTGGTGGAGAAAGTGGATTGGCATGAACTCGATGGTGCCAAACTTTCCGTTGATGCGGCCCACGAGCTCGTTGACGACAGCGCGAAGGTTCTGGTACTCTTCGACGTCCTGGCGAGATGGCACAGCAACCTGCACAAGGACAATCTTTCCAATCCACTCTGGATGTTCTGTGAGGAAAACCTCGAGTGCATGGAGCTTCTGGGGGACTCCCTTGATGTAATCAAGACGATCGACACCGACGATAAGCTTGACTCCTTCGAATTTACGGCTGAGCGCGGCGATACGCTCTTGGACCTTGGGCTTCTGCAGACCCTCGACGAACTTTTCGGGGTCGATTCCGATAGGGAATGCTCCAATCGTAACGTAGCGACCCTTCCAGTCAACACCATTGGGCGTAGTTGGTGTACCCAAAATGCGCGAGCAACTGCTCAGGAAGTGACGGGCGTAATCATAGGTGTGGAAGCCGATCAAGTCACAGTCGAGGAGACCGGTGAGGAGCTGCTCGCGTACAGGCAGAATGCGGTAGATCTCGCTGCTCGGAAATGGTGTGTGTAGGAAGAATCCAATTCGAACATTCTTCTTGGAATTGCCAATCTCTTCGCGGAGCATCTGAGGGAGGAGCATCAGATGGTAGTCGTGGACCCAAATCAGGTCACCATCCTGAACGTCTTTGATGACAGCCTTGGCAAACAGACGGTTGACCTCCTGATAAGCATCCCAGGCAGACTCGTCGAAGGTGATTTCACCGGGGTGGTAGTGGAACAGGGGCCACAGAATGGAATCTATAAGGCAGAGGTTAGCAAGTATTACGACCAGCGTCAAGCGTTTTACAGCTTCCTAGTTTTCTTTTTCTTTTGTTGCTCGTTCGTTTGGGCTTTAACTTACTTGAGAAACCATTGTAATGTCTATCAGCGAGCTCATCGTCGATAAATACGGGATGAGCACCGTACTCGTCCTTCAAGCGCTTGGTCATGTCCTCGGCTTCGTTCTCGGGAACTTCAAGGCCCGGCCAGCCATACCACTGGAAGCTGGTGGTCTTGCTCAGGCCGCTCAGACCAGTAACAAGACCACCCGATGACATTGAGAAGGAGTAGCTGCCATCTTCAGAGCGCTTGATGGTGATGGGGAGACGGTTGGAGAGGAGGAGCAGACGGCCTGGAGAGGCTCCGTCACCCACGAGTGTGGCGGGCATGGCTATTGGCGACAGCCTGTAAACGAGGCAAAAGGACGAAGGATACGATGTTGTTCAATCGCGATACCAGCAGGCACAGCGACGAGAATAGGACAGAAAGGCTGGCGTTGCGCGAGGAAGCTCGTTGGCGTCGATGCGCTGACGATGACGACACTAAACTGAGGCCGTGAAAATACCTGGTTCTGGTCCTGGGGGTGGGTTCAGCTTAGTAGGTTCCAAGATACCTAGAGCTGTAGTGCAGGTCGACAGAAGGCCGGCTACCTTTGGAAAATGGCACACGGGGTCACGGTATACTTCGTAGCAGAGACATGCAAGAGACGCCCTCGATGGGGATTGCTATCGGCGATGGCAAACAGAAGCAGGAAGAGTTGCGGGACAGATGCGATTGGGCTCGGCGGCGAGAAAGCAAGCACAAGCAGCTGCCATAGCGGGCGGAGGGGTAGCTCCTGGGCAGGTCAATCGCAGTACTTGGGGCTACATGATTGAGCGGAGCGCATTGCGGGCTATGTGCGGCGACATTTGCCTCCTACGGGTAACTCTCATGTACTGCTAAACACTCAACTCAGCCTGGTGAGGGGCAACTCTTTCCCGCATCAGCCCCTCAGTAGCGGTACTTGGCTCAGCCTGGCGCGCCCACAGCAGAGCAGGTACAGCCTACAGGAACCTCCTAACCTACACTCGCGAAGAAACGGGATCCAACCATGATCCTCCCGCGTCTTGCGCCCAGCAGAAATTTCCCGCAATGTTCCAATAGTTGGTCAGGTTGCCGCCTGGATTTCCCGTTTGCCGTTGCAGTGCATGATGGGAAGCCTCATTGTCCTCGGTAAGGTAACCACCCCTCGCTCCGTAAAGGGATGCAGTGGTGCATGTCCAGGTCCAGGCAGTGGCACACACCGGCCTAAACGTGTGATATCCACAGGCAAGGGCGATGGTTGTGGCGAGAGCCAACAACTTTGGCCGTGATTATTTATAACGAAAGCAGTCAGGCGGAATAGACGCATATCATGCCCACTCACGCAGCTACAGAATCACACGTGGTTGGCCTACTTGGGCTTGCTGAGAGGCGGAAAGCTGTCCCGGTGGAAACGTAAAAGCACCGGTCCGACCCATCCTAGGCCCCCCCGGTGGACTCTCCGGAACCGGGGCATCAGAATATAAAGCGAAGCGTCGTGATCCCGATCCGATCTCCCGATGCCTCTACTGGCTTCTTGGAGTGTATCCCTGTCGTTTCCAAGAGAAGTTATTGCCTCTATGCAGGACGAAAGTTTTTGGGAGGCTGCACGCATGGTACATGTTTTGCAGCGCCTTTTATGGGTTTGGGCTCGTACAGACAGGCTATTGTAGCCTCGCGGATTGTTGACCAATACATCTAACACATGGCATGCCTCATTCCCTCGCTTCTTATCAGGCTAACTAGAGATACCTTACCCTAGATCGACGGAAGACTAATACAGCTTGCAGTCGCATATGATATAACTGCTGCTATTGGCACTGTCTCATTGATAATGTAGTCTGTAATTGAGATAGCCATTGCCGTTTACTAGGCTACCTCTTATGTAGCCAAGGTAAGTTCATGGAGATACTTGAATCAACTCGTTAAACATGTTTCTTGATGGGTTTAGTATGGCTCAAACATGACTAAACATTGGAATGGCATGTTTACAATGCGCACTTTGGGGCTAGAACTTCGATAGCATCATTACAATAACCTTTTAGCTACCTATGTAAACATCTGCGCTCGATTTTCAAGCAAGAACCAGCCATAATAATATGCATACAATTTTAAGTTCGAGTGTTACAGATGTCCGAACAATTTTGAATGATGGATGAATCACTGGCGCTAGTGATGCCTTGGGCCGCCTAGGACGGTTCTAGTAACGCCAGAGTCTGGGCTGCAGTTGAAGACACGCGCTTATCGATAACGCCCAATCAAGGCCGGAATTTTTTTTGGGAACGATCAAAGCAAAGGTCATATACGGCCCTGGCTGCGTCACGACACCACTGAGAATCCAAACGGGGGCCTATATCTCCGTCGCCCAGAGCAGCGCGATGGAATCGAAAGACGATCTCGCCTCCGTCCAGGAGAATCTTCAAAACGCCCTCGTGTCCACCGTCAGAACCGTCAACCGCATCTCGGCAGAAGATCTTGGTTTCCAGCGTACAATCGACCCAGATGTTGGTGAAAAGCTCGACAGCACCACCAGTCGCATCCTCGAGCTCGCAAACTTGTTGCTGCGGTCTTCGGGCAAAGCATGCGGCGTCAATGCGCCCAAGTTGGAGGATGTCGAGGACATCGACATGAACTGGAGGAGTGTGGTGGATGTCGTCGACTCTGTACTAGAGAAAGCAGACACGGCCCTTGATGAGTACACTGGCCTCATTAAGCGCAAGGAGCCGACATCTGCGGAATCCGTGAGAAACCATCCGTGCAAATATACGTCGCGTCATGCGCCTATCTAACCCTGTTTCTAGGCTCCCAATGCAAAGCGCCCCAAGTCCACGAACAAGGTGATTCGAAATGCCAACATCGCCAAACCCCAAGTCCAGTTCGAGCGTAAACCCGAAAACTTTCCGACGGGTCCCTGGAAACCTTTGCTGTCATCAAAGCCCCATGCCCAGGTTCCCTTGGACAAGAGCCTGGTCACCTTCACCAACGAGAACGGCACGGCTCAGTTCAAGCACCCCTACGAAGCAGAGATTACGAGTATGGAGTATCCGGCAAATGTGTTCGAG